GACCTGCCCATTTTTTTTCTGTGTCAGCTGATAAGCAGAGACTGGGGCATTCTGTTAAGTGTTTTCAGATGTGCAGCGTGTGTTTGTTGACCCACAAGTGTGTGACTAGTTGGACATGTTTGGGTTTTTTTTATTTTAATAAAATAGTTCGTGAGAGAACTACCAACTGTTCTGAGCCCAAATCTGGGCAGCCTGGGTCTGAGCAGTAATGATGATTTCCTTTCTCAATATCAGATTATAAGTTTGGCTGCTTTTCCACAATTAACAGATTAATTTTGGATGATTTGAGAGGTGTCAGTCTCTTCTCCCAAGTCACAAGTGATAGGACAAGAGGAAATGGCCTCATGTTGCATCAGGGGAGGTTTAGTTTCATTATTAGAAAAAATTTCTTGACTGAAAGGGTTATCAAGCATTCAAACAGGCTGCCCAGGGAAGTGGTTGAGTCACCATCCCTGGAGGTACCTGAAGTATATATAGATGTGGTACTTACCAGGGGAGGTTTAGTTTCATTATTAGGAAAAATTTCTTGGCTGAAAGGGTTATCAAGCATTCAAACTGGCTGCCCAGGGAAGTGGTTGAGTCACCATCTCTGGAGGTACCTGAAGTATATATAGATGTGGTACTTTATTTAAAGTATATATAGATGTGGCAGTTTGGGACATGGTTTAGTGGTGGACCTAGAAGTGCTAAATTAATGGTTGGACTTGATGATCTTAAAGGTCTTTTCCAACCTCAACAATTCTATTATTTTTTGTGCTAAATCAAGTCTTTTTGCTGAAGTACAGCTGTAGATTTTATTTGTGAGACACAGAACAAATATTCCAAGGCAGCCTTTATCAGAGATTCAATAAAAAAATTGGAAATCAGCTCCGTCAGTCATCACTTGCAGGCATTGTTCCTTTGTCTGGATCAATGTTTATTTTCTAAAATGTGTTTCTTGATAGTACTAATGTGATTATCCCTCTTTTCTGTACAACAACATCAATTTGATTGCAAAGCATATTTGTAAATACCACGGCCTTTCATGTTTAAATGTATTTCCTTTTGTGTGTGTAGAGTGTAGCACGGCAGACTCAGTATGTTACCAAGCTTTGCTTCTGCTGGCTGTTCCTATAAATTGCTTTTGCAGAAATGATTGGAGTTAGGAAACTTTTGGAAGGTTTAACGTGAGCAAGTTGTATCTATTCTCAGTTATGCTCTGGGGAAACGTCTGACACTCTAACACACCTCATTAAAGCCTTGCTTTGACAGTATGCATTTCATCCAGCGCGGGGGTAAACATCTCACCTTGTTTCCAGCAAACACAGCGGGATGCAGGAGGTGGTGTTTACACCAACAGGAGCGTGGGTGCAGCCCAGTTTGCGCTGCCTGCTCCCTCCAGCTGCTTGCCTGGTGCATCTCTAGCTTCAGAGAAAAATCTCTCCGTGGAATATCGAGGAGAGCAGCCGTGTCCTGGGACATCCAGGGGTGCCCAGAGGACAGGAGAGGGTGCCGGAGGGACGGCTGGCTGAGAGAGGGCCAGTCACAGAGCAGCTGGTGGGCAGTTTACCCAGCCTTGCTCCCCTCCGAGCTGGGTGAGCACCACAGGAAAGCAGAGGGAGGCTCATTCAGCAAGGCTCAGTTCAGGTCACAAGATTAGAAATGATGGGTCACGAGCAAAGCAGTGTAAACAGCCCTGTTCCAACTTGAGCAAGTGTCTCTCTTTCAGCTGCTGATGTTACCTGGAATCCCACCAACCTGTCCTGACTGTTGGGGGTGAGGGTTCACACCGGCTTCTGGGTGCAGCCTCAAATAGGACATGAGAGAGGCTGGGGACTGGTGATCCCCACCTCTGTAGGACAGTGCCACGCTCAGCAGACCCTCCCTACCATCTCCCCATGTAGGGTGAACCCAGTTAAAGAGCCTCTGCAGTGACTTTGCCATCGGCACCCCACTCTGCTCCAGGCACTCCTTTAATCCTGCCATTCACCTTCTGCTTCCCAGGAGGAAGGAATGCAGTGCTGGTGACTCACCTTGCATTTGCATCAGCTACGATTATTCGGGGCTGCACGCCCCAGGGTGCTTAAAAACTGCCACAGTGTTGGCTCTGCCTGCTCCCTGGTCACCCCACCACTCTTTGGTGGTCCACACAACCGGCCAGTGGTGGGATGAGGTGTGCACAGAGAGCCTCACCATCTGAGCTACCCCAGGAGTTACCTTGGGCACACATGGGAGATCAGAGGGAGGTGGTGACAGCGCTGGGACATTGACCTGGAGGGAACCACCTGCGAGTCCCACCGGGAAGAGGGAAAGCACACAGGGACTCCGGCCGTTCCCTCCTCCTGGGGCTGACGCTGGAAGTACAGTGATAAAATTGAAGGAGCACTGATCTACAGCCAGAATTCTGCACAGCTATTCAGCTCTGCCTCTGGGTAAAGCTCGTCGGTCTCGCTTCAGGGTTTAGTGAAACGCTTGAGCACAGTTACCTTAAATTAAATCTCATCCTTACGTGTGCTGCTGCATCCAGAACTGATGTCCTGGAGTTCCTTGTAATTCCTCAGGTCCCATAGATTTTGGGTGACGTTGAACACCTTGAAAAATGCATCCTGCCTCAAAGGCTCGGTCCCTGCCTGCGTTATGCAGGACTTGGGTCAGCCTCATCCTCCGTGTGACTCGGGAGATGGAGAAGTAGCACTTCTCAGTGATGAAAAACAAGTTGAAGTGAGGCAGAAAAATCCGTGATAAATTAGTGTGGAAAGTGTTAATGGGGCCAAATGTCCCGAGTTTATTGGATTAGGGAAGTCAAACTAATTTTAAAATTACGCCCAGAGAGTGGGAAGCTGGATATCGTTAGCCATTTGTCTGACACTACAGAAAAGTCTTAATGGGTGTCGTCTCAGCACATTAGGAAAGCACTGTCAAAGCTCTTGCTGACGAGATGCTTTCTCAGGTATTATTAATTATATTGCATTATTAGCCAACCCCAGCGTGGGGACATACTTCGCATGTTAACGAAAGTGCAATGACCATTTAGCTAATAAGTCTGGCTCGGTCTTTTAAGTTTTTCTTAATGATTAGCAACGTAGTAAAACTGTAACGCTGCGAGATATAAAATAATGATTCAACAAGCTGTGTCTCCAGAACAGGTTTAAACTGGAACTTGCCTGTAGCGAGGAGAGATAAAGCGTACAGTCCTAATTACCAGCCTGATGTGACAAGAGAAAAACACATCTTGCAGATTTAACCAACTTGTGTGACCTTGTCACACACGGTAAAAGTGCAGTTGTGATAGCTCAGCCCGGCGTCTCCGTGTGATCCTTCCACCGTGGCCCTGGCCAGGACAGGGGTTGCTGCAGCCTCCGGCAGCGCTGAGCTCTGTGCATCCCCCCCTCACTTGCAACCACCAGCAGAACTGATTTGAAACATCCCCGGGGTGAACAAAGCAATATCTCCAGGGGGATAGACAAATAAATGAAATGTAACACTAAAAGGTGCCTTGTCCAGTTGTAGCCCAAAAGAGTGGGACCTGGAAGGAGAAGACTGAGTTCCCTTATGTGCAGAGTGAGGAAGCACACTCTGAAACTCGGGGTGCATCTCGTTAGCCCACAGAATTCACAGCAGACCAGGGAGAAAAATAATTAGAATCATAGAATCATCTAGGTTGGAAGGGACCTTTAAGATCATCTAGTCCAACCATCAACCTAACTCCGACAAAAAAATAAATAAAAAATAAGCAATAAAAAAATCACTAAACCATATTCCTGAGGACCATGTCAACCCATCTTTTGAACATCTCCAGGGATGGTGCCTCAACCCCTTGGGCAGCCCATTCCAATGCTGGACAACCCTTTCCATGAAGAAATTTTTCCTAATATCCAATTTAAACCTCCCCTGGTGCAACTTGAGGCCATTTCCCCTCGTCCTATCTCCTGTGACTTGGGAGAGGAGACCCACCCCTGCTTCTCTACACCCTGCTTCTAGTGGCATGTGAAGTCTGCTAGCTCTGGGGCTCCTGCTTTGCCAAAAGGTTCATAGAGGTGTGGGATGAAACAAGGAGGGAAAGCCTGGTGAATTTTACACACGCTTTTCAGCTGACAACTGTTTTTACAGAGTCATTTTCCTTAAGTGGCTCTGACCCCCCAGGCAGATCTTCTGGGAAGTTCAGGAATATGGCTGTGGGCACTGTTGGTGTTGTGGGCTTTGTTAAACTAATGAGTGTGCTACATGACAGTGATCAGATCAGCCTTTCTATTGTCATTCCCTTGGAAACAGGCAGGAAAACAAAGACTGGCTGCTGGGAATGTTGCTAAATAAATGACCCCTCGCTGATGAGCTGCTGACAGTGTCACTGACTGATGCCCCTCAGGCATTAGGAGGAAGCTCAGAAGTTTAGCAGAGCAGTTTGGGCCAGCCTTTCTCATGTTAAACCACCTGTATGACCATTGTGTGGGTGGACCTGCCAGTGGGGACATCTGGGACCCCAGTGCCAGCACCCTCCCTGCCACCCTGCCTCTGCTGTCCCATCCTCCCATTCCTGGAGGGAACCCATCCTGGCTCTACCCTAGAGCAGGGGCCAATCTGCTTTGAACCCCATCTTTCCCCAGATGCTCCTCCTGCTTATCATGCCTAGAGAGGTCCCAGCACCAAGTTTTAAGCTGCACCAGCATCCCTGCTGCCTCCCAGCCCCGCAGCCTTGCCTCTGGAACCATCCATTTCAAAGGGATTTAGCTGAGGGGTTTGCACAGGAATTACCACCCATGGAGTAAACGTGTCCTGCCAGGAAAATACCCCCCATCTGGAGTTGGACATAAGTCTGAGATGATGCACAGAAGGAAAAAAAACCCACCAGCGCAAGCCAACACATGCCATAGAAGTTGTTCATCGTCACTGTTATGTGACAGACATAGATAACATTGCTGAAAGCAAGAACCCGTCTCTTTTATTTCCTTTTTTTTTTTTTTTTTTTTTATATTCAGAGAATCTGTGATAACATTTAACTGCCTGCCATGCTGGTGAGAATCCGTGATAACATTTAACTGCCTGCCATGCTGGTCTCATCCAGGGGAGACCTGTTTGCAGCACACAAGACTCTGACCGTTCCACCCAGGAGCCTGCACCCTGGCTCCATTGCTCTCTTCTGTGCACCACAGCATGGGCCCTGCATGCCCCGTGTCAGGCTCAGGTCCTCCCACTGCTGCAGACATGAAAGCATCAACCTGGTTCTCCTCAAGATAAATCCCAGCAGTTGCTCCAGGAAAGCCCGTGGTGGATTCTCATTGCTTCAGTGCACAGATCAGGGCCAGAGGTTTCTCCCAGTGGACCTCATGGCTACACTTCCAGTCACTTGGAAGGAACCAGAACTTGCTTTAGGGTCTTAATAAGAGAGTAAAGTCTATAAAGGAAAGATGTTCAAGCACGTGGAAAGGAGCATGAAGCTTTCCTAAGACCAAACCCAGCCTATTGTCCTCCATGGTCTCTCTGTTCTCGTGCTTTTCATTGTGTTCCATCCTCTGTTACATTATGGTCACCGCTTCACTGATGGTCACCGTGACCGAGCAATGCTGGTGTTTCATCTCTAAATAAATAATGAGTTTCTATCCTGAGAAAGTCGCTAGAAAGTAGCCTGGCATCACAACAAGGAACAAATCTTAAATGTCAAGCAAACAGAGGGCAGGCTTTTACAGTGATTCCAACACATCCCCCCCAAAAAGGAAGAAAAATCCTCACAGTTGGATTTTGTCACATAAAAGTTATCTTGTAAAGAAGCAAAACAAGCACAAACAAGTCTACAGAAACAACGCAACCTCCTGCTTGTGCGCTATCTTGGCTGAAGCACATCCAGCCAGCAAAACCTTACGTGGAGCGAAGTAGGGGCCGGATTGGTGGGGCACCTTCCAGTTAACGTGGCAGGATCTGTTTCCCCTTATCATGAATTGTTATGGAACTGGGAGCCCGAGCTCAACCTGGAGCTTGTGGGTCTAAGCGTTGTACAAAAGGAAGGGAAGGCCAGAGAGGGTGGGAAAGGAGGAGCAACGAGGGGAGGTGATGTGGCGATGGTCACACCATGGGAGGGATGGCAGCAGGACTCATTGTGTGGTCCTGCAGCAGGGATAAAGGGGGGAGGAAAGGCTTCTGAGGAGGAAAGAGGAGGTAAGCAGTCTGGCTGAAACAAAAGAAAAAATAACGCACATCAGCCCAGCCAAAGTTTCTAAGATTCTCCTAAAAAGTGTTGTGACTTGAGAAATGCTCACGAGCTCGGGCAGCATTTCTGTAATGCACGGGTAGCAAAGCAGGCCAGGTGCATCCCAACTGATCCAGGTGGGATCCACCTTCTTCCTCTGCACAGGCAAGAGTAAGGGGGAGTTTGCTCAGTCTGTTTTCCTTAGCACCTCAGGTGAGCAGTGCCGTGTGCTGGTAGCACAACTGCACTAGCAGTTGGTTTCTGAAGGCATCGGACCACTCAGCAGAAGGAAGCAACAAGCGTGGGACAAAGAGGTGAAAACATGAGGCTACAGCATCACCTGACCCCTCTTCCCTTCATTCCAGCTGAGCGATGACCCTGCTCAATGTAATGCTTTGCCAACCAGTAAGATCATTGTCCCACTGGGCTCTTCCAGTGGGGTGAGGAGACACATACAACGTGCTCCTCCTGTCCTTTCCCCGGCTCTTCCCACAGCCCAGTTGTACTGAGTATTTCAGAGTAAAACATCTGTGGCTGAGAGGAGTGAGCCACAGCAGCCAGAAGACATCCAATGGATGGGTCCTCCTGGTCTGCCAGCTGCAAGGTTTTTAGGAAATGAGACTTTTGCCCAATGTTCTTCCCGCGGCACCTGAAGGAGGTGAGGTCCATGTTCAGTCCCTCCTTTTCTGGGTGGCGTGACAATGTCTATGCCTCCTCGCTGCCTCGTAGGTCTTCCAGCTCGGTCATGGCTTTGGCTGGGAGCTTCTTGCGGCGGAACACAGCTGCGATCTCCTCAAAGGACTTCCCTTTTGTCTCCGGGACTTTGAAGTACGCAAACAGAAAGAAGACTAGAAGCAGAGCTGCGAAGATGGCAAACACGTACGGTCCGCACAGGTCCTGCAGTGGGGCAAGTGAGAAGAGGGGACACCACCATCAGCACTGCAGGGGTGGCTTCTCCTTCCCACCCTGGGTGTCTGATGTGCCCAGGAGAGCTTGGGGATGGAGATATGGGAGGCACGTGCACATCCCACACCAAATTTGCACAGTTTTAGAGGGATTTCTTACCGCTATGTACTGGAAACACATTCCCACGATGAAGTTGCAGGCCCAGTTGCAGAAGCCGGCGACGGCGATGGCGGCCGGGCGCGGGCCTTGGCTGAACAGCTCGGCTACGATAAACCAGGGGATGGGGCCCGGCCCCACTTCGAAGAAGATGACGAAGAGGAAGATGGCGACCATGCTGACATAGCTCATCCAGGCAAAATCGCTCTGCAAGAGGGTGCGCTCAGTGTTACAGTCTCAACACGACCCATTAATTATCACTAATTACTTTAATTAGGCTTCTTTTGCAGAAATTTCTTTCTCTTCAGACAAGTGGGGACTGGATGTGCGTAATTAAAGCTCTAAACTCTTGTGCTGGGTGCTGGCTGGGCATGAGGTGCCAATGTTGATGCCTGGAGGGATGTTGGAGCTGTACCATCAAGCTTTCTCCTTGCCTGCAGCGTGGCCAGGAAGAGCCAAATAGGCTTGTCTTTAATAACCAGGGTGTTCAAGAAAAGGAGACCACCCCTTATTTGGTTTTACATCTTGACAGGGGCTCACACCAGTGGTTTGGATTAACTTTGATGTGAGCCTGTCCTGCCCCATGTCCCACAGCCTGACCCCTCTCCCAGGTGTTAGAAGGGACCATTTGTCCCTTTTTTTGATGACAAGATGCTAGTCTAGCATCCCTGCACCAAGCTGGGGAGATGTAGGTTGATGGTTTAGGGCACGTGGAGGTGTGCCCTGGGTCTTCTTAGCAGGCATGGGATTATGCTGTGGGACTAGCACAGTTGCTGTGTAAGGAACTGAGGGTGTCAGCAAGCTCCAGGAGGGGACAGGGGACACACGTCCTTTCTAGCAGCACTGGGGTATCTCAGGGGCCAAAGAAGTGGCTCCAGCTATGGCCACTTTGAACTGTCCCTTCTAAAGACAAATGTTTTCTGGACTTCTTTGAGATGAAAATGAGAAACAATGACTTTTAAAGGGTGGTTTGTCTTCTCGTGTTTGCAAACCATGGAGAAAAAACAGAGAGAAATCCTTACCAGAAGCACAAGTCCAACTGTCATGGCCACGGCGCTTATTAACATGCCCATCAGACCAGCAAGGAACAGGGACCGCCTGCCTGTCTTCTCCACCAGAAAGACCTGTAGAAACATGTGCACCACCATTCTCAGGAGGTTCAACCAGGTCCATTAGCAACGAGCAGCCTGTTAGTGCTCCCACACCACACTCCTGCCCTTTTAGCTCTCGGGGTAGAGATTTATGTGCCAGTTTCCAAATGTCAGGAACTCTGCCGGTGGCTGTTAGGGAGCCAGACGGAGCAGTTGCCCTGCCAAGGGCAAGGCAAACCCACGTATTCTCTGAGCTCATGCATTTCCAAGTTCTCAAGACTTCCCACTGCTCCAACACAGGTCCTGATTATGGACTTCTTTTTCTCTTTTTTTTTTGGTCAGGAAGCATAAACTTACTAGGTCTGCATTAGTTTGGGAGCAACCTTCAAAAGGCAGCCTCTATCAAGTCATACTGTGGGCCATTGCACCTTGCCTGTCCTAGGCAGAGATAGTTGTGTAGCAGCTGGAGCCAGGATTTTTCCTCCAATTGCTCCCAGACTCCTTTTGCTTCCCTGGTAGCCACAAGACTTAGCTTGCTCCTTCTCAGCTCCTGTTGGTGGACTGCAGCCATCTCACCCAACTTTTGACATGTTAGGCTGTCCCAACCACTTCACCCAATGGGGAGGTGTGGGTAACTCCAGAAGCCAGTGCATCTGGCTTGCCCTTAGATATCAGCCCCTGAGGCTGCCTGCTCCTTTCCCTCTGCTCCAAAGGACATCAGCTTAACCTTTCCTTTCCATGACAGCAAGTGATTTATGCTTCCAAGAGAGCAACTGTTTTCCTGGAGGCAGTTCATCCTGCAGACTTGTGAAGCTGCCAAGGTCCACCCAGCCATTGGTGCTTCTGCCTTTCGATCGGGGTCTATCATTCATTGACAGATGCAGGTAATTTTTAAGTGCTCACGGCCAAAAGAAGCAAAGATCAAATGCCCCAGGCTGCAAGTATCACAGCCTCGTGGTGGAGATTGAACTACAGGAGACCCTCCATGCTGGAGGAAGACCTCTTCCAGCTGTACACCTCTGTGCCTCGTTTCACAATAAACATCACGTTTTCTCCTCTGTACAGGACCTATTGTGGCCTTCCTCTAAAGCAGGTTCACCCCAAGACCTCCTATCTCATGCACACTGGACTAAGATCTCTTCGAGTTGTGTTATTTCCACCCTGCAGCTACTCCTGCTTCATGGTGGGTAGAAGTCCTTTGCTCCCTACACCTCTCTAGAGGTGGGTGGGAAATGGGCTTGGCATTTCCTGATCTCCTTACGTTAATGGCCACATTTAAAAAAATAATCACCTGCTGATAGGGAAATTGTTTTAATACTCTCAGGAGAGAGACAATGAAGGGAAAGGCTGCGAAAACAAAACTATCCTTTTATTGCTGCAGAGCACTGTGCAGACACGAGGAGGAGAGGTCCTAGATTAATTTATTACTGTGGAATAGCCTTTGGATATCACTCTGGCAGGTGCTATGTACATAGAGAAAACAATTTGAAAGATAACGGGTAAGAGGGAGATTGTGAGCTGCCAGCTTCCCCATCGCAACCCCGGGGGGAAGAGGACCCACAGAATTCCAGTCTCAAAGGCAACTTTTATTCTGGGGGTAACTGCTGAGCTACCAGAGCTTCCCTGAGCACCAGGATGCAGTTTTCACTCACCAGCCATTTAGCTGTGCTTGTTGATAGCAACGGGCTGTATTTCAAGGCTTGATTTTTCAAACAGGACTCACCCAGGGAACGGATTTCTCCTGAAACTGCAAATCCCAGCCCCAGCTCCAGGATAAAATAATTTTTCCATTGTTACTCGTGTGTTTTTGTGGTCAGAGGGGCAGAAACATTTACTCACGGAGATAACAGTGAAGACCGTGTTCACCACTCCAACGCCAATGGTTGCGTAAACTGGTTGGTCAACTCCGGCTCGCTCGAAAATGTTTGTAGAGTAGTAAAAGATCTATCAAAAGACATTAGGATGAAGGATTAGGTAACAGGGCTGGTAGAACTTTTTGTTCTCTCGAGGGAAGGGTTGCACTTGGCTTGGCTCAGATGTGAAGTAATTTAATTATGATTACTTTTCCAACTTTTTAATGGCTTGTTGTAGTAATTAAAGCTGAAGCTTTCAAGGAGCCTGAGGGAGTTAAAAATCCTATTGAAATTCCCCTCCAGAGCTATTGCATTTGCACATTTTAAGCTGTTTTTTTGCACATACTCCCAGGTTTAATCTTGAAAAGCCAGATCACCAGCACCAAGCGCTGGAGACAAACTCCTTAATATGACTGAGTTTTACATGAATTTTCAAATATTCTTGCTACATTGGAGTGACTCAAATTTCTCCCTTCTCTCAACGAATAAGGTAATTCCTACCTCGTGGAAGTTCAGGGCAGGAGGTAAACGGGTGGCTGACCCTACGGCTTGTTGATGGGGCTGAGCACACCATCAAGATGGGGCTGCCAGGCTCCGTGGGGTGGCTCATCCCTGCGAGGATGGGCATCCATCCCTGTGTGCTGCTCCACACTGCCATGCAGAAACACTCCTAGAGTTTTGAAAGTTGGTGGCACAGAGACCTCAACCTTTGTAAAGTTGCCACCAGGCTTCCAAAAATTTGAGTCTGAGCCAGCTTTGAAAAGGAGGCTCCATCCTCCTAGATATAAAATGGTAATTTCTGGTATCCCAGGAGATGCTGCAAGACCTGTTTAGCTAAAAATTGCTAAAAGATGGTGATTATGTGGTTCCTGGGATGAGCAGGTGGTGATTAAAGAGAACAAACTGCTGACGAACTCAGGTATGAGGAGGGTTGTGGGAGAGCTCAGTGTGAACTCTGATGGTTAATGGTTGGACTGGATGATCTGAAAGGTCCCTTCCAACCTAGACAATTCTATGGTTCTATGACTAGCTGTGCCAGCTGGTTTCATAATCATAGAATCATCTAGGTTGGAAGGGACCTTCAAGATCACGTAGTCCAACCGTCAACCTACCTCTGACAAAAAAAACCATCACTAAAGCATGTGCCCCAGCACCATGGCAACCCATCTTTTGAACACCACCAGGGATGGTGCCTCAACCACTTCCCTGGGCAGCCCATTCCAATGCTTCATAACCCTTCCAGTGTAAAAATTTTTCCTAATATCCAACCTGAACCTCGATAATGAACTCCCTTGCACCCTTCTCCCCTCATGCCCTCCCACACCAGCTTGGCCATGAGGTCCACCTTCAGCACCGATGGTGGTGGCCGAGAAGCCTACTGAAGTCACCAGAAAGCCTTTTCTTCACCCCTACACAGCTTGGATGGAACCAGCATCGCTTTTTTCATGCTCAGTGTGGATTTCTTTAAAGGCAAACATTTTGGGAGACTCACCGCGTTTATTCCTGAGAACTGCTGAGATATCTGCACCATCAGTGCCACGATGACAGCCTGCCTGTACTTCGATGAGGTGAAAAGCTGCCTTATGGAGACTTTCTTTTCACTAGCAGCTTCTTGCTTTTCCTTTTCCATCTCAGCAATTTCTTTCATCGGGTCACAGTTTCCTCTGAGCCTTTTCAAACCTCAAGAAAAAAAAAAAAAAGATTGACATTTTATTGTCAGTGGTGGAGAAGGAGTAGAGCAAGGACAAGAATATCTCTAGCCAAAACTCAGGGTAAGCCAACCACAAGGACAGTCACATCCTCTTGCTCTGGTGACTCCTATGGCACATCAAGACCCAAAAGTGTGTGTGTGGCACAGGGCAGCTGCACATCAGTTCTGTGAAAGCACTGAGATGCCATGCTCAAGCCTCATCCTTCTGTGTTTAATACCACGTATAGTATAAAGCCAACACCAGACAAGCCCAGAATGTGTGTCTTACTTTTTTTAGCTTCCTCCACCTTCCCCAGTTTGATGTAAAGGTATCGGGGGCTCTCGGGACACAGTAGGAGCAGGAAGAACTGCAGGAGGGCAGCCACACCGGACAGACCGAGGAGCAGGGGCCACATCTTGTCATTGCCCAGGAGAAAGTCTAGTCCGAGGACCTGGAATTACGGAGGCATGTATGAATGGCTTATCTTGCACCCTAAAAAAGGAAACCACTTGACCACTATGGCATTTTGAAGTGACAACCTGGAAGAAAACTAGAAACAAATACCAATTCTCAGTCCTAAAAAATTGTTTTCTTTAGTTATGGTGCACATTTACAAGGAGGGAATGAACAGATGGCATAAAATGTCATGAGTGAGACTTTGGGACAGCCCTCTGCAAGCCTGTTCCCCACCCTGGGGTGACTCGGTCCTCCTTAGGACATGCCACTGGCAGGAGACTCAGGAAGTACAGACATGCTGGTGAAATGTTTCCTCCTCAGACCTTGCTATCCTGGGTTTTTAGGGTATGGGGTTTTATGGGCATATGTGTCCTACGCACCTCCACAAAGGTGCGGAGCTCAGATGGAGGTCCACGCAGTGTGGGATGCCCCAGTTGCCTGGCCACTAACCAGCATGGTCTGAGCACTGGGGCCACAGTGCAGCACGAGGCTCTAACTGGACCTCTGCTTCAGTGTGTCGTTATGGCACTGCAAAAGGTGCTCCAGAGGAGCTGTGAGGACTGGCAACGCTTTTCCTTCTACAATTCCAAGCGTTTTTTGTACTCCCACAGCCAGTGGAGCTGGTAGGACCTACCTTGGGAGTGTTTTTTTTTCCCCCATGGTCTGTCCAAAGTCTTTGGCTAAATTGGATTAGATTAACTTTGTGGTTACGTTAAGTTTTTCAGGAGGTGTTGGTTCTCGGTACATTTATGCGCCAGCCTGACATGTAGCAGGGACTCCTGCCATGGTGGGCAACGCTGGTGGAGATGTTGGACCCCCTGCTTCTTGATGAAGCCATGTTTGAGTACCAGAATATCAGGGGTCTCATGTTGAGGATCCAGCCTGACCCGGATGAGATGGGTACAGAAACTTTGCAGTGGAGGGGAGAAATTGTTCGCAGAAGTACTTTTGATGTCAAGAGAAGTCATCTTTGTTAAGGACGTCTCTGACTCAAGGGAGGAGTTTAACCCCATGAGAGCAGATTGCTTCCTACTGTCCTTCAGTTTTGGGGTGGAATGATGCGTGACACCTCAGCATGTCCCTGGGGTGTCCCTAACCTCTGAAATACCCTCTCTGGACTTGTGTGCTTTCCTTCTTACCTGGCTGATGAGGATTCCTGTGACAATGGCAAGCTGGTGCAGTGTCCCCAGTGCTCCTCGAAGGGCCGTGGGAGAGACCTCGCTGACGTACATGGGCACCAGTCCAGAGGAGAGCCCTGCACCAAGCACACGTGGCTGTCACCTCTTCTAGATCCCAGCTCAGAAACCACTTCCCAAGGAAGATGGAGCCCACGTGCTGCATCCCACATCCCACCAAGTCCCTTGTGCCCGGCTGGGAACCATCCCCACCCTGCAAAGGTGCTCAAGATACCTCCAGATTCCTGAACCGGGAAACCTTTACACTTGAGCACACACGTAGGAACATGGAGCAGAGATCGCCCGCTGGGAGTAGTTATCACAGAGCAAAGAGCTTTCTTAAAACTTGCCTTGACCCTTCAGAGGGGTGTTGCATTTGCATACCAGTAGCAGTGATAATGAGCTGTTATTTCTAAGCTAATTCTTACGTTGCTGCCTGCTATCTTATCCGGGCTGTGTACAGTGCTCCCGAACTATGTGCTGGAGAGTATTGTTGTCTTGGGAACAGCGTGGCTAATAACATACTGTTACAGCAGCCACCACCAAATCAAGCCTTGGGATGCAGAGGAAGGACTCACTCCTTTCTAGGATCTATAAAACAAACTGGTTTTATGATGGAACCAACCCAAATTGCTCTGGGAGACACCCTGGGTTGAGAAGGACAGACACAGGGGGAAGAAGGGAAACTCCCACCTGTGAAACTCCTTCAGAACTAAAAAAAAAATAAGATTTAAAAATAAAAGAAACTCCTGCCTGCAGCCCTGATGAAGCACTGCAACACCTGGAGGGACAGATACAGATGGCCCCGCCTGGACTTACCACAGTACAGCCCCGTGACGGCTCTCCCGGCGATGATGAGGATGTGAGATGGTCCGAATTTGGCCAGCCCCATGAGGAGGTTCCCGGCAATGGAGAGGACGTTCACCACCAGCATGGCTTTCACCCTGCAAGGCAGCAGCAGCACGGCTCATTCCGGCCCCCCTCTCGGCCAAAACAGCCATCGCCACATAAATCACAGCTATTAAGTGACTTAATCAGCACTACGGGGGGAAAAATAACGATCGTAGGCACTGAAAAAATATCAGACAGGGGTGCAGAGTAGCTAAAAGTATATTAATAAATAACGATCATAGGCACTGAAAAAATATCGAACAGGGGTGCAGAGTAGCTAAAAGTATATTATACATCCTGTGCAAGTGCCGTTCAGGTGCCTTCTTCTCTTCTTTTGCCACAGAAAAGAAGTGGGGGTGGAATTTGGAAATTAGTCAAGGCTGCTCATCAGCTGCTTGCCTAAAGTGCTAAAATTGCAATAAAAGATCTGATTTCTAATTGAGGATGTTCATCAGCCAGACCTCCGTGACGGTATTAGTATTTTGGAGGTTTGGGTTTTTTTTTTCATTAAACTGGAGAAAATAACACAAATTGTATTTCTACAGGGAAGAAAGAGTTCTAGGGGTAAAAAATCTCAACCGAGAAGGCTCGGGCTGTGGCCCCCGAGTCAGAGCACACTGTGTCCTCTCACCTCCCCAGCCGGTCACCGATCCACCCCACGGTGAAGGAGGAGACCATGCCACCGATGGCGAACACCGAGACGGAGAGGGACCAGTACATGGTGAGGATGAGGTGCGGGGAGGTGCCGAGGTCCTCCTCAGTGTCAGCCGGGGGTGCGAGCGTGCCCTGGGTGCCACCCCAGGGCTCTGTGACAGGGATGGTGCCATCCTCCCCGGAGGTGTTGGTGGCATGTCGGTCCAGGGGGACGATGCCCAGCACGCGCCCGTAGTGGGCTTCTATCACCTGGGATGGGCAGAGAGGAGAAAAGCCATTGGTTCAAATCTATAACCACCCCCAACCCTTCTTTTGGGGTTTTTTTTTCTGCCCTGGGAAAAGCTTTTCATCACGGGGGTGACATCTCACTTTGGGGGGGGTTCTTGCTGTTTTCCCACCCTGCGTGCCACCCCAGGGCTCTGTGACAGGGATGGTGCCATCCTCCCCGGAGGTGTTGGTGGCATGTCGGTCCAGGGGGACGATGCCCAGCACGCGCCCGTAGTGGGCTTCTATCACCTGGGATGGGCAGAGAGGAGAAAAGCCATTGGTTCAAATCTATAACCACCCCCAACCCTTCTTTTGGGGTTTTTTTTTCTGCCCTGGGAAAAGCTTTTCATCACGGGGGTGACATCTCACTTTGGGGGGGGTTCTTGCTGTTTTCCCACCCTGCTGCCTTGTTGTGGGAGCTTTGTATGGTGGGGGATAGCACCTGGAGAAGGTCCCTTCTCCAAGGGACAAACCAGCCCTGGTTGCCCCACAGCCCTCGTCCCTTGGCCATGCATGGTTTGGGGTGGGGGGGGGTCTTGGCTTACCTTCTGGGGGGCGTTAATGACCCCCAGGCTGTAGCCATACTGGAAGAAGCCCAACACCGCGGTGAAGACGGAGAGGACCAGCGTTCCTGTCAGGTGCTGGGGGAAGAAGCAGAGAAGAGCCTCACCCCACTATCCAGGCTCTTCCCAAACCCAGGAAAGGGGCTGCACCCCATCCCTGCCCCAAGGAACCCCACTGCCCGGGATGGTGGCACCCAGGGGTGCTCTGCAGCAGCTGAAGGAGAAGGCAAAACCCATGGGGACGAGGAGGATCAGGTCCCCCAGGGCAAAGCAATGTTGCTCCCAAAAAGCAAGAGCACGCGGGCAGCATCACTGCTGAAGCAGAACAGCCAGGAAAAAAAATGCCCCAAATGGTGTTTTTCAGCCGTGCCGTGTCGAGTATTGTTTCCTTCCATCACACTGAAAATTACCTGATGAGGTGATGGAGCTCTCAAAAATAAAAAATAATCCCTTGACCCCTTCGCCCCTGTGCTCAGCGCGCAGACAACAAAGAGCAATTAGAGGAGGGGATTTTTTTTTTTGGTTGATTTTGGTCTCGGCAAGCAATAAATACCATTTATTTAGAAAGAATAACTAGAAAAAATTAGAAAATTTAAAAAAATTAAACAAAAAAAAATTTAGAAAGAATAGAATTCTGCCCGCAGAAATTCTAGTGCAAAAATACCACCGAGCCATAGTTACCTTCTCCGCTTGCATTTTGCTTTTCTTGTCCATCCCGCAGCTCCTCCGGTGTCCTCCCGGGAGCGAGGTGGGAGCTCGGGCAGGGAAGGAGGGAGAGCAGGGCTGGGATGGAGACAAGAGGGATCAGGAAAACTGGCTGGCTGGTGCGTGGAGAGATGGGACTATATCAGCTCCGGGGTTAATGAGAAACCCAAGTCTTCCGTGTGCGGTATTTGGCCACCGCTCGCCTCAGAGCGGCTGCTTCCAATCCCTGAATTTGGGAGGACAAACGAAAGAACAGGAGAGCCCAGCAACGGTGTGGAGTGGACCTGGGAAATCCAAACCATCCAGCTGAAAGGCTGATTTGGGGCTGTCCCGCCGTGGAACAGTCCTCGATGTGACATGCCAGGGAGCTGGGAACATGCTACAGCCCATTTCGAGGTGTTCAACACTTTTCTTGGCTTCTCTGCCGGGTGGAGGTGCTCCTTTAGAAACCTCTTGCTGGATTTGCAAGAAAAAAACCTTTCCAGCGTATGTAGCAAAGAAGCTGGAAAACGACTAAGAGTGTTTTATTTAGATAGAATCATAAAATGATTTGAGTTGGAAGGGACCTTAAAGATCATCAAGTTGCAACCCCCTGCCATGGGCAGGGATGCCTCCTACTAGAGCAGGTTGCTCAAAGCCCCATCACCTTGCTTTAAATATATTTTTTGTGTGTGTATATAACATACACAGCCAAACCTATATAAATAAAGATGTATCAAGGTCTGGCTCTTTATATATGCCCAGACATACCTGCAGGGAGCTGTCATGCTAGCACACCCCTCTACGTGTACATCCTGAGCGTTCAGAGGAGATGCCGTATGCACGTGTGGAGATGCAAGGTGGCAAAATAACCTGGGATATTATAATGAGATATGTTTTTTTGATAAAAAGCCCACAAGGGGGGTGAACGCTGAGCCTTTCGGCACCGCCGGCTCGATTGCTGCGCTGGCAAATATTGCCGATGCTGGCAAATATGGGCGATGCTGCCCAATATCTGCTGATGCTGCCGAATCTGGCAGCCCTTTGCCTTGGCTCACACGGCAAATGATGGACTTTGCCCATGGGCACAAGCTGGTCTGAGCTGGTCTGGTTCGGGTTTTGCCGTCACTGACATCGTCATCGGCGAGAGGAGCTGCGAGGGCCGGGGCGGATGGTGGCATCTGGAGGAGAGGCATCAAGGTCTGAATCAGCCCAGGAGGTGATTAATGCTCATTACCCTCCAGATAAAGCCTCTGCTGGGTCTGGTGGTGAAGTTATGTGGCTACCCATTGGATGATGCTGTCAGTCAGCCAGGCTTCGCATGGGCACGAAATGTACTTTCTACGGAGGAAGAAGGAAAACAAAAAAAAAGAAAAAGACAAAGATGAGCAAGACCACTAATCTTTGCACTGGTCTCCTTCCAGTGAAGTAAAACTTTAACTGGAGGAGAAAAGTTCATTGCTTTAACTCAGGCATCGATTCCAGCCCCAGCACCTGCATTCCCCGTGGGCTGGCGTCGCTGCAAGGGGGGAGGGCCCCGAGGCTGAGCTTTTTGAAGTTTTTTTTGTCCCCGATATTTGTCCTTCCAGCTGAGATCTTTGCCCATCGTGTTTGTTTGCTCGCGCTGTGCGGATACACAGGCATTTACAAGCCCTGGTTCTTTGCACGGTGGAGGTTAAATGCCTCCACGTAGGAGGGGGGGTTGGCAGGATTAGGTAATTAACAACCTGCTCAAGTTTGACTTGGGGAAAGAAAAAAAAAGAGAGAGCTTTGAGGCAGCATCCCAAACCGAAACCCTCAGGCACTGTGAAAATCCTGGCCAGGACCAATGTCCTGCCCAGAGAGGTGGTGGAGTCTCCTTCTCTAAAGAAAAAAAAAAAGAGAGAGAGCTTTGAGGCAGCATCCCAAACCGAAACCCTCAGGCACTGTGAAAATCCTGGCCAGGACCAATGTCCTGCTCAGAGAGGTGGTGGAGTCTCCTTCTCTGGAGACATTCCAAACCCTCCTGGACATGTTCCTGTGCAACCTGCTCTGGGTGGACCTGCTTTGGCAGGGGGTTGGACTAGATGATCTCCAGAGGTCCCTTCCAACCCCAGATCATTCTGTGGTTCTACAGCCCCCAGCTGATGCCTTGCCCAGAGCCTTGACCAAAACCTGGGCAGTTTTTAAGCACATATTTAGCTCTCAGTGATGACTAACAGATTCAAGCCCCTGTGTTTTCCTGAACAGAGGGTCTGGATGGGGATGTGCCATTGGCAGAGGCAGCTGCAGGGCTTTCCTGAGGCTCAGGGATGGGAATGGTTGGTGTGTGAATCTGCCTTCCCCTGCAGTTGCTTCCCAAAGGGGCTCTTAGAGCATCACACCTCGACTGTCTGCTTGGAAAACTGAAGCATGATGCTCCTACACCCATCCTGATGCCACCAGGATCAATGAGCAGCCCGTCTAATCCTCATCAGCACGCTCGATGGCTGGTTGTGGGACCACAGGGTGCAGATACCACCACAGCCCAGCTCAGGAGCAATACCAACCTGTCCCACAGCCTCGCCAGGCAGCAGCTAGGTGATTTGACCAAGGGCACAGAGATCAAAAGGGCAAAGGGGAGATGGCATCTTCCTGTCAGGGCCAGCCCTGCCATCCTCATCCTCACCTGGGAGCTTGCCAGCCTGGAGCTAGTTTGGACTTTTCCTTGGCCACATTCAGATTATCAGAGTCGTGGCTGAGGGTAACATGGGCGCGTGTGCTTCACGTGGCTTTTTATGCACAGAGCTTTTCCTGGTCAGGGCAACCAGAGCAGAGAGAGTCATCCCGCAGTTATCCAGGGGAACGTGGGGTGACACAGAGGTGAACCACGCAGATGACAAACGTGGGTCTCCACATGTGTGGCTGAGCACTGCCGTGGGTCCAGCCTGAGGGCATGGCTGCCCTTCCCAGGTAAAGCACAGAAGAAATTCCAAAGTCACTGGTTTCAGAACAGCAGCACCCCTCGTCCTGCCCTGGCCAGTGCTGCTGGGTTTTGTGGCTTTTCTCCAGGGCTCCTGGCAAGAAGCTGCCCCAAAATGTTCTCATATCTTCTCATAGAATCGTCTAGGTTGGAAGGGACCTTTAAGATCATCGAGTCCGACCATCAACCTAACTCTGATAAAAAACCCCATCACTAAACACTCCGTCAACCTGTCTTTTAAATACCTCCAGGGATGGATAAATGGCAATCCCAAATGGAATCCCAAAGAGCATCCAGCCCCTTAACGCTGGGTGACTGCACCTTGTAGCATGAATCTTCATGTTTCGTGATAACAGCATAATTTTCATTATCTGCAAACAGCAGCGCTTGCATTATTGCTAATATGTTACTTATTAATAAAGTGTAAGAACTATGTATAATGCTACTGTCACGCGGAATTGCCCTGCTTGCTGCCTACTATAAGTTGTGTATAATTGGGGTTGTTCCTATATCTCATGCTGTGTGATAAAAGCAATGGGTTAAAAGTTTATGGTCGGGCTTTGCTTTTGAGCAACTGAACGTGCTGTCACATCAGGGGAAGTAATTTAAAGACTCCATAAGGAGAGCGAGGCTTTCTCTGCAGCCGGGGTAATTTGCAGACCCGTTTTACTGCCTTTGGATCACATCCAGGGGCAGCTTTGAAGTTAAAGAAAAATAAAAGGGAAAAGAAAAAAGAAAAAAAAACAACCACAAACCAAAACAAAAACAAAAAGGAAAAAGTAAAAGGAAGATTCAGACCGTAAGGTTGCAGCTCTCCAGGTACGAGGTGATGAAGGCTGATGAGGCACATCAGAGCAAAAGAACATGCAAAAAGAACATGATACAGGTTCATTTTTCCTCTCTATATGCACAGCAGGTGGGGCAGGCAGCAGAGCTGGGGCCACCAACGGGACAGGGGCTTCAGGAGAACTGAGAGGGACAATTTGGTGCATTTACAGCAGAGTTATAAAGGCATCAGTGTGTTGGCCTCCTACCCTTCCAGCAAAATCCAGGTGGGTGGCTCATCATCCTGGGCGCAAGCACGGCACGGTATGGAGGTCCACCCCACACCTTGGGGAAGATTCGGTCCCTTCTGCTCGCTGCTGGCCCATGTGATGCTCACGTTGGCCCCAATCACGTAGCACCACTGCACAAATTGTTCCATGAGAGCAACAGACCTGCACGAGCTCAGGTCGAGACAAGGAACTGCAGCACAACTTCTAGCATTTCCAGCACCCAGCCCAGCTCCGGGGCCAGGGTCACAGAACCACAGAATCTTCCTGGTTGGAAAGGACCTCTGAGATCACCAAGTTCAACCACACACACACAAAAGAACTCCACAATCTTGGCCATTAGAACATGCCCTGAAGAGCCTCTACACGTTTCTTAAATACCTCCAGGGATGGTGACTCCACCACCTCCCTGGGCAGGCTGTTCCAGTGCCTGACCACCCTCTCAGGAAAGTCATTCTTCCCAATATCTAATCTAAACTTCCCCTGCCCCAACTTCAGACCATTTCCTCTGCTCCTGTCATTATTCCCTTGGGAGAAGAGGCCAACCCCCACCTCTCTACACCCTCCTTTCAGGGAGTTGTAGAGGGCAATGACGTCTCCCCTCAGCCTCCTCTTCTCCAAACTAAACATGCCCAGTTCCCTCAGCCTCTTCTCATGTGACTTGTCCTCTAGTGCCTCAAGCATCCTCCTTTCTGTCCCAAAATACATAATATGATCAACCCCAACACCACATGACAACAAGAAAAAATGGAATTTGATAATCACAGTCTGAAACAGCTTTGAAAACACATACAATTCCCAGAAGCAGCTGCTGGAGCCTTACCTCAGAGCATCCTTTTACCTTGGGAATGGTACCCAGTGTCTCCCCGGTGTCCGCAGTGTGCTGGGGGTGACCCCATGGCCTCACACCAACTCTGGAGCTTTTCTTTCATTTACCACAAAGGTACGACTCGTCCCCGAAGTTCATGCAATATTTCACAGCAACTCTGTAAATAATTGAATCTGCAACTGGCTCAAGTGACTCCTGCAGGCACAGACGTTATTTCTCTTTCTCTGCATTCACTGCTCAGCTGAACAAATAGGTTCCCTTTCCTGGGTGAAAACTCCTAGAAACAGGGTTTTAAAAGGAGCCCAGGTTTTATTTCTTTAAACACTAAAATAAGGCAGTTTCTGGTAGCATTGATCAACCACAAGCCTATTTTACTTACAACAAAAGACAAGCAAATCAAAGCCAGGAGTATTTGGAGGGGAATGCATGTCTTTACAGTATCAT